CTTCTTCACAAAGGAAACGCAGGAGAGATAGAGATACTCATGCGAAAAATTATCTAGTATATCCTGGTTATGAATGGACTTGGGCTTCATATACTTGTGGTCGATCAACTGAGATGAGCCAAAGATGAATGGCAGGAAATGGTAGTCGTCCAGACCCCAAACGCCATGTGAACCCGCTGGCTCCAGGCAGTAAACCGTCTGCAACTTTCTCATCAACTTGAGATACTTCACGAATACCCGAGAAACAACTGCCTGGTAATCATTTTCTTTTAGAAGCCCTAGTCTAGCCAGGCAATAGAGCCAAGCAGCGAAATTGGTCTCATGGCCCGTGCCGTAGTCGATGCGGCTCGAATTACCGAAACTATCGGTGAAGTAGGGAATGAGCTCGAGGGTGGCAGATCGGAGATCGTCGGGGAGAAATTGAAGCATCAAGGATTCAGCATTTTCAGTCATACGGTCGTGCCAATCCCGATAAGAGTAGTTACCATATCGGGAGGACTGTTGCACCGGCGGGATCTCATCGACCCAACGGAGAAGTGTTTCGAGGAGGGTGACGATGGAATTTACAATTTGAGATTGGTGGCAGCGGTCGGAAATTTTGTGGCCGTGGATGGACTCACTAAGGGCGACGACGAAGCCCAGGAAGTTCTTGCCGGAAAGAGAATCGTGGAAGCGGCGAATGTCATCTGGATTGGTTATCTTCTTGGTAGGAACTTGGAAGGAGTAAGGAGGAGAGACGGCAAAGACTTTTTGAGATTGAGGGACGGGAGCAAGGATAATGGCTTGTTGGGAATTGTTTGGAGGGAGGTTGATGGCAGGACAGAGGCTGGGGTGGTAGCCGAGAGGTGGAAGCTGACTGCATGCGGCGTTGGATAATGAGGAGAGGTGGGTTTCGGTGGCTGATTCTATGGTCTCCTCCTGCCCCTTCACCAGTTGCTGCGATTCCATTTTTCCTATCACCAACAGGCAACACTCAACAGCGATCGTTCGAGCGGGAGATGTAGTTTGTTTTAATTTCTTTGGATACTCAAAGAGGAGAACGGCAAATTTACCTTTCATTACAAATCAACCCAATATATAAATTAAGGAGTAAATCATGGAGGAAATGACCCAAGGGTCCTAGGAGAATTTGATGTCTCTCCTTGTTTTTAGCGACGGAACTCCTACGAACTAGCTAGACCATACAACTCGAGAATTTCTTGAAAAACAGTTATAACTAACTACTTAATAACAAGTGGAATATACAGGGCTCTCATGCAGTAGGCTAAAACGTGGCACTGGATCTGGATGCAACATAGCCACCTCTTATTCAATGTACAATATTGTACTCAAACATACAAACGTGAGACTCGCACCACCCAAGTTTGGATTCAGAAACAAATTTTCAAGGTGATTAATCCTCTTCTTCACCTCTGCCGTTCAACTTGGGAAAGAAACTTAATTTAAACCACATCATACGTGTTGTTTTGTGAACTTGTTCAAGTGGTTTAGTCTGGCTCTAGAGTATTATGCAGGCTGATATTCCAATTGCAAGTTGCAATGGCGATGCCATCTTTATGGGCACTTTCGAAGAGTAATGCAAGGTGGTTTATATATGAACAAATGCTCAAATTAATGAGCCAGATCCTGGAGGGTATAGAGAGAGAGAGAGGCTAGTGAAGATAAATAAGATAGTGAACAAATGCAAAGTAATTTCAACTAGTGATAATTTTATAAGTGGTATTTTAAAATTCAATTAGGGAAAATTTTGGAAGATAAAAATTAAATAAGTATATAAGCATTTGAAGAAAATCTGGAAATTTAGACTTAAAAAATAAGCCTTTATTTTTAAAATAAACATTTATTTGACTTATTTTCTAAATACCAATAAGTGATTAATGGTCCAAATAAGCACTTATTTTAAATAAACACTTATTTTTAAACACTCCCAAACATGGCCTAAACCTGGTTCTGACTTTATCAATGCGAATGTGGATGGCTTATTCTCTAATATATACCAGGGAAGCAACTGGAGTGGGCATTCATTATTGCCAGGCAATGCCATTCTTGCGAGAGGAAAGTTCATCCATTCATCTTGTATTTGTTCGAAGACATTAAATGTATGAATCTCATATTGGACAAATAAAAATGCAAAGAACTAATATATCAGGATTGGCTCAGAACTTGATAATTTATAAGCTGTTGGTTCAAAAGTGATTTCTAATTATTATGTAGTATGTGTTTGGTTCCGTGGGTATTTATGGAGACAGAACATTTATTTGTACTTTCATTTTAAATGTTTATTTATACTTTTTCACTTTAAATGTTTTTTTTTTTGTTTTTGTTGTTTGGTTGAACTTCACTTTAACATTTTATACTCTCTACCTCAGATTAATACTCATTCAAATATGTCACATCAGCATTTGGTTTCAAGAAATGATTGGAAATTGGGAGAAACAAGAATTTAATGTTTCTTCAAATGCTCCATATACAAAAATCAAAGCATTTCAGTTTTCTACCATTTATTTGATAAACAATGAAACCAAACAATTATTTTATTTTGTTTCATCTTCAATAAATGACAACACCTATGGTGACATTTTTTCAATAAACGCCAACTAAACCAAACATTTCCATAATAATCATATGCATGCAGTATTCTAGTTTTTGCTGCAACCCCTTGTCTTCTATTCTAAAGTGGCCGCTTTGTGAAGGAACATGCCAGAGGTTAAGCAGTTGACCAGTCCACCCCTGTTCTCAAATTACTTTTATCAAGGTTCAAAATGTCCAAACTTATCTTTTGAAATCAGTTTTGATTGGTTGAAATTCTTGATATGCAAAATTTGAGTATTAAGAGTATCAATATTTGAACCAATGTCGTAAGACTTAAACCGGACCAAACGATCAAATCAAAACTGAAGAATCTGAGACATGGTTAATGACAGTTTCCACGGGATAACCAGACTAATCATTCGATTAATCTCTGTTAAACTTTGACCTGGCCAGTGACTATTGTGATTTTCAGTCCGAAGCAAGACTTACAGCATTAATTTTTATCAATTTTATACAAATTACAGTGATGTTTGGCATCAATGTCGTTTTCTGAGAGAACGGTGCCATGTAAGTATTAAATCAAAGAAAACGTGCTTCAAATAATACCCTCTTGTTTGAACAATACCAAATTCAATACTTTATGGAAAAATGATGCATTAGTGCAACGATGCAATGACATGACATCAATGCAGCACCATATTGAACATTGAATAATATAAATCAATGTTAAAAACATTAATGTCAGCAATGATACCAAACAAAACCATTGCTGTTTTTTTTTAAAAAAAAACACATATATAACAACACAGTGCTTACAACTCCACATACCCAGTACCATTTTTCTCAAAAAACACCAAACGATCAGATCAAAACTGAAGAATCTGAGACATGGTTAATGATAGTTTCCACGGGATAACCAGACTAATCATTCGATTAATCTCTGTTAAACTTTGACCTGGCCAGTGACTATTGTGATTTTCAGTCCGAAGTAAGACTTACAGCATTAATTTTTATTAATTTTATACAAATTACAGTGATGTTTGGCATCAATGTCGTTTTCTGAGAAAACGGTGCCATGTAAGTATTAAATCAAAGAAAACGTGCTTCAAATAATACCCTCTTGTTTGAACAATACCAAATTCAATACTTTATGGAAAAATGATGCATTAGTGCAACGATGCAATGACGTGACATCAATGCAGCACCATCTTGAACATTGAATAATATAAATCAATGTTAAAAACATTGATGTCAGCAATGATACCAAACAAAACCATTGCTGTTTTTTTAAAAAAAAAAAACACATATATAACAACACAGTGCTTACAACTCCACATACCCAGTACCATTTTTCTCAAAAAAACATGTTTCCAGCACCAATGCCAAACACCTACTACAATGACCCAAACGCCAACTTATCAAATGTGTCGATCTCGAATCAGGTGGGCTGGCTTTCCAGCATTAAGTCCTATCCATATTTAATTGGGATTTGAGAGCAGTAGAGCACCTCCTCATCTTTACCAAATAAATCCTATACTTGCTTTGGCTTCACGACATGTCGATCATCCAAAATTCTATCCCTCTGTGTCTAACCTCTATAAATTAATTGTTTGGAAATTAAAAACTAAAGAAAAAAAATCCCTTGTACCTGTCAAAAATAAATTTTCACATCACTGCGTCGTGATTGTATAAATGAGGAAGCAAAGTTGCTTTTGCAAGGAGATACAAATAAGAAGCTTCCTTATAAGACATGTCACATGTCATCCTAGATTCGCCACATGTTTAACCCCGTTGGCTATATCAACGCAATATCCAACCTTGTGTGGTCGTATTCATAACTAATATTAGCCATTTAAAGTGTTGTGTTTAAAAAAAAAAAAAAAAAAAACCAATTATACTTGGCAAGGCCTTGTGGTCGGTCCATTATTTGTAACATAAATATAGGAAGGAAAATTTACGTTTGGCATAGCTTTCAGAGAATTAATTCTGATTTCTGATGAATTTTTAAATTTAGTTTGGATTTATGAAAATTATCCAAGGTTATGCTGTTTCTGGACTCAGAAGTCATTCTTCAAATACAGCCACGTAGGGCTTTTCTCCACATGACACGTTAGTTGATACAGCCAGGCCGTCCGCAATGTAATTGCTAGAAAAAGCAAGTCCAAGACTAGAAAAGGTGTGCAGGAAGTGCAGCGAAAATTAGTACAGAAAATCAGAATTGTCATGGTTTAGTATGTGACATACTGACATTGCATAAAAAATCCAAATTAACCACAAAGATCACAAGTGAGTTACTCTAAAATTCAAATTATCAGTGAAGTTATTAGAACAAAAAGAATGGATTTCTTTTGTTCATGGCTAATAGTCATTAAAGTACAAATGACTTTTCCTGAAAGCCAAATTATCAACGAAGTTAATAAATAAGAGAAATGAATTCTGCGAAGATGGATAAGTGGATCATCCTTGTCTGAAGAGACAGAATCAATTTATCATGTAAAAGAATACAGAAAATAACTTAAGTTGGTGAGCTTCTTCCCTTATGGTTATTGAACAATAATTACCTTTGCTAGATCAACAAATTATACCTTCAATGTCAGTTTAGTTCTCCCGAGAATGAAAAAAAAATGGTCACTTCACTATGACTTTCATCACCAGTAATCCCCACAGGAGCAATTGCCATCTTTGAAGTGATGAAAACGGTTTGAATCCCTCACAACAATCTCCCTCTCAGTGATTTTTGATATGAACTTTGTAGCAGTGTGGCAATCCCCACAGACACGCAAGTTCTTGAAGATCCTAATAGTTGTCTTTGGAGGAGTGCTAATAAGCCCAAATGCAATTGCCAGCCTCTCACTATGGCCTGTGAGAATATGCTCCTTTTCATCTTCCTCGACATCCTGCAACACAAAGCTATAATCTGGCACATAACCAAGGCTTTTCATTTTAGCCAACAACATTCTCAGTTCACTGTATATCTCCTCACATTTAGGGTGGGACTTGTTTCCCGTATAAAATACATCAACCCTATTATTCACCTCAATGGAACTCCACCCAGGGGTCTTCTTCAATCCCCTATCTTTGGCCAAGGACCTCACTTTATCTACTCCATCCCATTTCCCAACATTTGCATATATATTTGACAACAACACATAGTAGCCAACATTCTCTGAATCCACTTCAAATAAGCGATTTGATGCAAACATCCCAAGTTCAAAATTGCCATGAATCCTGCAAGCACCAAGAAGAGCACCCCATACAGAAGAATCAGGCAGTATGGGCATATTCTTTATAAACGCATAGGACTTTTCCAAATGGCCAGCTCGACCAAGCAAGTCAACCATACAGCCATAATGCTTCAAATTGGGCTTGATCCCATAGTCTTCCTGCATCAGCTGAAAGCACCACTGGCCCTGATCTACCAAACCTGCATGACTACAAGCTGATAGGAGAGATACAAAGGTGACATGATCCGGCTTGACCCCTTCACTCTGCATTTCCTGAAAGAGCTTTAGTGCTTTCTCACCATGCCCATGAATTCCATAACCAGATATTATAGCATTCCAAGGAACTGAACTCATCCGTGGCACTTGGAGGAATAAAGATATTGCATCATCTAACCTCCCACATTTGGAGTACATGTCTATAAGACAAGTACCTACAAAAACATCCAAATGGAGGCCCATCCTAATTGCTTGTCCATGGATTCTCATGCCTTGCTGCAAAGCTCCTATATGGGATAATGCAGGCAAAATGCTCACCAACGTTCCCTGGTCTGGTACTATTCCACTGCATCCTTCCATCATGTGGTATACCTCAATTGCCTCACTGGCAAGGCCATTTTGTGCATAGCCGGTGATCAAAGCATTCCAGGAAATCACATCTTTGTCTGGCATTGCTTCAAAGGCTTTCTGTGCAGAAGCTATGCTACCTAATTTTGCATACATATCAACAACAGCATTTCCAAGGAAGATATCTTCCAACAGCCAACCCCTCCTCATCATGAAAGCATGTATAGGCCTGCTATTTTGAGAGTCCCCAGATTGAGCAACCATAGATGACAAGCTCACCAGGGTCAAGGCATCAGGCTGAAAACCATTTTGTTTCATCTGAACAAAAAATCCGAGAGCCCTAGTTGTGTCATTGTTCTGCTCGTAAGCAGCAATAATTGAGTTCCATGAAACCAAGTCACGCACTGGCATTTGATCAAAGACACGTCTGGCAGGATCTAAGCTACCTAGTTTAGCATACATGTTAATCAAAGCATTTGAAACAAACACATCAAATTCCAAACCGTGCTTGATAACATAAACATGAATTAACATCCCCCTCAGAAGATCGTTTAAAGGGGCACAAACAGGAAGAATACTTGAGATGGTGACTGGGTCCAACTTCATCCCCTCCAACCTCATCTCCTCAAATACCTCCAGAGCCTCCGCTGCCTTTCCATTTTGACAATATGCAGAAATCATCGCATTCCATGAGCCCATATCTCGTACCGTCATTTCGTCGAACATTTTACGAGCGTCGTCCACGAATCCGAGCCTTGAATACATATGAACCAAAGAAGCAGCCACAAAGACATCCGAACCAATACCAAGTTTAGAGATCCAACAATGCATCTTCCTCCCATCGCTCAGGTCCCAACAAGCTTTCAACACAACAGGAAAAGTGAAGAAATCAGGTCGAACTCCCGACGTAGTTAACAAACGAGAGTAACAATCGACAGCTTGACGGTAACAACCATTGCGGACATAACCAGAGATCATCGAATTCCAGGCGAAGACATTCTTCTTTGGGATTTGTTCAAAAGCGAGGCAAGAAAAGGAGACGTCACCAAGGTCGGCGTAGAGGTTAACAAGTCGAGTGGAGAAGAAAATGTTCCGGGCATTCCCAGACACCAAAAGGTGAGCGTGAAGGCACTTGGCGATGTGCGTATCGGTGCAGGAGAGGAAGACTGCATTGAAATCCAATTCTCTTGTATTGCTTTCAAGGCCATTGTGTAAGGTTTGGAGAGAATTTGGTGTGAGGGAAGAGAATGAGAGAAAGACTTGGGGCAACTGAAGAATTTTTGAAATGCGGTTACCGTTGGAGGTAGGCTTTGCTCTGAGTGTAAAAACCATAAGTCATAATGTCGAATAACTGAAGCTCCTTCGCTTGTTTGTGCCGTGAACTAGACTCTCCAATGATCAGGGTCAGGGGTTTGGTTATATTCGGTACTACAAACTATAAACAAAGGAAAGAACGTCAATCGGGATTAGATATTTAGATATTCGGATTCAGAATTTCAGATGGGGTAGGGATCTGTTGATCTGTTACCGATAAAAGCTCCTAACACTGTTCCAACAGTACACTGTAGCTGCACATTGCGAACAAACCATGGGGTGATGTTCTCGATGTACGGCTGCAATGGCTGGTTGGTTGGGACATTATTGGCAATGTGTGTTGGTAGCTTATTTGGATCCTAAAAAGTTGGATAGCTCCGGTAAATAACTTCGCTGCTCATAGGTCGGGACTGGGTAAAACCGGAACCGATAGATAAAAGAAGATGGTAAGAAATTGGAATGGAACCAAATCCAATAGCGTCTGTAATTTTAGATTCAGAATCGAACTGATTAACAGGTCTGACCCGATGAATCTGATTATAATAAATATGTTGAAAATATTATACATTTAATTATTTAATTTATTCAATATATTCTATATTAGATGTATAGCTCGGATCGGGTCTAAATTGATTCGGAAGTAAGTAAAACTGGCACTAAACCAATAAACAATATATCAGAAACTGGAATCGACCCATCGGTACCAGATTTCAAAAACTAAAACCGACCCAATTAGTTCCAATCCATCAGATCGGATCTGTCAAATCAAACCCGAACCTTTGACAACCCTGGAAATAATCAGTCCAGCCCTCTTTGTTATAGCTTCATTCGGTCAAGGGTGATCTCAATTCCAATTGTTTATAATTGGATTGAATAAGGATCTTACCCTTATCCGATCCGATATCTTCTTATTCGATTCAATTTTAATGTATACGCTCTTGTATACTTAAAAACTTTATATTATTCTTACTAGTAAAATTGGTTTGAACATTGTATTTATATCAAGGTTCAAAATATCGATATGTTCAATACGTTGGTAAAGGTGTATTGGGCAAATCGATACTATTTTTTTTAGTTTTTTTTTTCTGAAATCAGTTCAGGGGGGTCGGTTTAGGTCTCCTCCATCCCCTGAACCGGTCAGACCCCGATACACCCACTAAAGGGGCGTATCAGTGGGGTCCCAGAACGATACGTATCGGTCGATACGTGTCAATACTTTGAACCTTCATTTATATTAAAAGAGTAGTAGGTATAAGTTTAATATAATTTTTTTTGAATGCTTTGTACAAATTATTTTTAATTCATTTGTCCATGATATACAATATCAAAATCATTTTTAGATCATTTTATTAAGAATATATAATAGTTTAGTTATTTTTGTTTTAGTTTATTTATACTATTCAATATCTAATCGCAACCCAAACTCAATTGGAATTCAAATATAAAACCTACAGATAAGATTCGATTCAAATCCAAATGTTAACTAATCAAAGATGGAAATATGTACATCCAATTTGATCCAAATCTGAAATAAATTGTTATGTTTTATACTTTACTAGCGGGGGCCTGTGAAATGCACAGGATGGGGCACCCCTCCTTGTCCCTCACCCCTGTAAGTCAAGACACCCTACTCCATCCCCGCCCTGACCCCAGTGGTAGGGCGGGGATGGGTAATTCCCAAATTTTCCCCACCTTGAGGCAATCACCAAAAAAAATATATAATTTATGAATGTTTTACAAATAGGATTATGGGAATTTGGGGTATTTTAGGAATTAGATTATGATAATTTGGGAGTATTTTATAAATGAAATTATGGGATCCTAGGATTATAAGAATATGAGAAAAACTTACAAATATATTAAACATGAATGTTAAATCTATAGATATTTAACTAATTTATCATCGGGTTCGGGGAATTATATGCAAGCCCCATCCCTAATTTGGGGCAAAAATATTTTCCCTATCCCCGCCTCGTCTTTGCCCCATCCCCGTTTAAGATTTGAGAAAAACTTACCCAGTTTGGGGCAAGGCAAGGTAGAGCCCCAATTTTACTTTTATAGGGAAAATTGTCACCCCTACAATTCTAATAATTTTCTACAACTAATTAACTAATAGTAAATTAAATGACAATAAATGACAATATTTTATGATAATTTCCAAAAACGTTATTGAAATTGCTATTGATTAGTAATAATGTATAGTAAATTAATTATTTACAATAACAATAAATTAATGTAAATTATTTACTTTTTAAGCCTAAATTATTTACTATTAATCAAATTAAATATAGTTATAATAAATTTATGTAATTATGGTAAATTACATTATTTTTAATTAAAAATAAACCATTTATTGTTAATTAATGTAAAATCAGGTATGATCAAAGTCAACTAAGTGGTCTAGATCGATGTAGATGGACTTAATAATTTTCCTAAATTATTTAATAATTATTTATTGAAATAATAATAATGGATTGTTATTTAAATAATTATGAGACAAATTCTAATAGATTAATTTCCTAATTTAATTTTCCTAAATTTTTAATAATTATTTAATTGAATAATAACAATGGATTAATATTTAAATAGTTTTGGAGAATATTTTTTCATAGATTAATTTCTTAATTTTTTAATTACTTTTTAAAAAATAATTATGGATTATTAATTAAAGAGTTTCCCTAAATTATTTGATAATTGTTAACTATAATGATTGATTTTATAGAAATTAGTAAATTACGCTAATTAGTAATATCTTTTATCAATAAATTATTATTGTAAAAATTAAATGAAAAGTTATTAAATTACAATGATTAACGTAAATTACGATAAACGTTCAAATTTTGAACATTTATTAATAACCAAAAATTATTAAATAATGGATTTTTTATTAATTTTATTATTAAGTTATTTAATATTTATTAAATAATGAATTATTTTTAAAATAATTATTTCATAATTTTTGTAGAAATTTTTAATAATTTTCATAACTAATGGATTATGTAACAATAGATTATTATTTATGAGTAAATTATATAACAATAATGGAAAATGCCATGAATATAAAGGAAACATCGAGTTCCCCTTATTCCCCCCTCTTTGCTTGAAATCACATCTATAGATATAAATATTGTTTGACTTAGAAAACCAAATTGTAATAAATTTATGACCCTATTCTATGATAAAGTGGAGAGAAAAGAGGAGAATTAGAGGTAGAAATGAAGGAGGGGATAAAACATATATTAAGTTAACTGAGGAGAGAAGTTAGGTTGTTATATAAACTGAGAGACGTGAGTTGTGGGGGCAGAGAGAGAACCCAATTGGAAGAGAGAGAATGAAGAGAAAGGGTGTTGAGATGTTAAATTGGGAGTGGTAGGAAGGGGAAGAGGGGAGAGAGTCAAGGTCTCAAGGATAATATAGGGTTGGGGTAATAGAGCAAGGAGAAGCAAGGTGACGTGGGCCATCTTGCTATATATATAGATAGATGTTTTTAATTTGTCATGATTCAAAGTATTGCCACTAATACTCAAAACTCAAAAGTTGAGTATCGAGACTTATACACTTTCTTTTTTAAATTTTTAAGTTCAATTCAAGGATAGATGTATTAGGAATTTAGGATTTCTAAACCATTGAAATCCCTTAAATGCTTGTATTTAACATTTCAGTAACGCTGAGAAACCGAAAATATAATACAATACGAAACACTACTTATTGATACTATGAACCATGATTTGAGCAAATCAAGAAGTTCAACTTAGCATTGAATTAATCAGCTTGTGACAGAGGATACATCTAATCCAAATCTAATAACTCTGCATCTTCTTGATGTCACTTGGTAGGTGTAAGATAGTAGAGTTGTGTAAGTACATCAACCCGGCCAATTCGGCATAAATCAGGGTCAGACCAGATTGGGTCAAACTAATTATTTATAAATTTATCAAACAATTTAAGAGTTGAGACCTTTCTAGTTTCCAGAATAATAATGTTTAAGAATATTCTAGAATGATAATTAAAGGCACATGCATTAATTAAACATGTATATTAATTAAATACAAGGGCAAAATGGGCAAAATGAAAAGAACAATAAAAATTTAAAAAGAAGAGACCATGACACTATAAGCCCCATTCATATGGGGACCAATTTTCATTATGAACTGATTAGCAAAACCCATTATAGAGGAAAAAGAACCCATATTCTCTCCAGTCTTCCCTCTCTTTCTCTCTCTTTTTCCTCCGACCTCTCTGATCCATCGTCATATCCCTCTGGACTTGGAAGTCTGATCACCTTTATCCAACGGTTGGTTTACAGTAGGTAATTCATCTGGGGATGCCAACGAGTTGGATTCAGCAAATCTAACCGCATTCCATTGGTGAAAGCTATATTTACAATTTCAATGTCACTTCGGCAATGGGTTGGATTTAGTGCCGACTGCTGAGAGGTCTTAACTTGAACCTGACCTGAAATCTTATCAAAACTTCACTCAAACCCAACCTAATAAGGTCAGATCAAGAGGGTTTTAAGACGAGACAGGATCCCCTGAAAACAAAAACCCTGCCAACACTCTGCAGGCAAGGATCCAGTTGCACATTGAGAACATCTCTCAATGAAATTATCAAATTAAGATACATGAACAGGAGGTATTCATAATGTGCAGCTGGATTCCGAATTCTGAGTTGGTTGAACCGAGATAAATTTGACTAATGCCTGGTACAAAAAAGAGTCGATTGCTCGAAAGAAGCCAGAAAGAAATAATGGAGTTGATTTACATACACTAGTACCTGAATGACAGTGTAACAAGCAAGAAAGAGTGACTAAAGTTATTAAAAATGACAAGTAAACACAAGAATTACTCAATCGAGTCCCGAGAGACGAAGATTTGACTAATTAACTATGAGCACTTAATACCAGCTACTTAGCTATGATATATCAATTTTTTTGTTACCTTTGCATATATAAACACAAATAACTATTGGCAACACTAAGGCTCAGTTTGGTAAGAGTGCAAATACAAATATATACAGTACAAATACAAGGTTCGGAAATACCGTATACAAGGTTTTGCACTTGCCAAACTGAGCCTAAATTTATGTTTCCTCTTTGCTGGTTGCATCCATAATGCTTCTACTAGTAGCATAGAAACCGGTTAAGGCAGATCGTAAAAGCCTTGCACGTAAAAGAAGTAAAGAACTAGACAACTTTGGCATCAATAATAATTAAACAGATTATAAAAACACTTGGAGGATCAAGAAAACAATTTGAGGAATTACTAAAACAATAAGATCTTGAGACCAAAACGTTCCTTGGATTATAGAGCCGCTCAAAAAGGAAACACTCAAATTTATAGTTGATATTTTGGTACAGAACTATAGGGTTAGTACAAACCCCAGGATTTAAAGATTTACAGAGGTGAACTGCTTTCAGATACCGTTTTTCTTCTTGCGTCTATGACTGTCATTTCCATCTTTTCCCTTCCTCTTTATCCCAGCTCTCTTTGGTGCCTGTGGCCAAATTCAGAGATAATCCATAATCAGATTCTATAAGGGAACTTCTAGAGAACAAATCATCATATAGTCAAACTACTATAATCTAGTAGAGCATCAGCACTGCACTAAGAAGAAATGAACGGAAATAAGGGATATGGACAGACCTCAGCAGAGAAGGTTTTCAGAGGATCTCTACTTTTGCCATGTTTTCTCTTAGACCCTTTCCGGCAAGTAGACTTGGTACTTCCCATTGCAGCTCTCGCAAGCTTAACAATCTTGCTGGCTTCCTGTGTCACTGGGTCCAAGAGGTATTCAGGCACAGCCCTTAGATGTGAGGGAGGAGGCTTCTTGCTCAGTACCTTGTCATGCTTTAGTAGATCTGTTCAATCATCACCAAACCTTATATAATTAGAACTTGAATACGCTAGACCCAAGATCATCATTAAAATTAAGCTGCATATCCAACAAATAAATTCCCCTTACCCAAGTCTCTTGGATTATCTTCAAAATGAGCCTTCAACCTAAACAGGAGTAATTGTCAGTAACAAAATACCCAAGAAAAGGCTGATCAAACAAGGGAAAAACTAATGCAAAAGGTAGAGTATGTGCTAAAATGCACAATTTTGCCTGTGTAACATGAGTTGTGCTGCCGCATGGTACACCTTTTGCAAAACACAAAAACTGGCATAGCTAAATGATATTACAGCTTGGGTGGATGGTTCATGTTTCATCATTTCATGGGCTTTCTTTTCTGAGGTGATTGATGGACATACCTTCTTGGTTATTCCATAGTCATCAAGGCGAAACATAGGCAACACCCAGTTTAAGTTAACATGCTAATTTCCTTTTATTATTTTTTCATTTGTTATCATCATCATCACCATCACCATTACAGACAAAAATAGTCTCACCTCCTCTATTTTCTGAAATTTCTTTTTTCCATTTTTTATGAATATGTTGATTTTCTATGTTTTAAATGAAACCTATACATATTTTACGAAGATTATAGACAATTGATTTTTTTACAATAAGATTATAGACAATTGATAGCAAAAGATAGCTGCTACTTGCTATGGAGCCTAAGGAATTACCCTAGGATTCATGTTTTTTATTCAAAAAAACCCATCACCTAGAAGACTAGGTGACAATTAATAGTAAAAGATGGGTTTTATTCTAAAAACACCATCACCCAGCCTCACCTCAACACCTTGAAAACCATGCCTTCAGGGTCCACCACCTTACTTTGACAATCAAGAAATACAAAGATAGATTAACATGTGGAGCAATGAGATCACATGATCACAACACTTTCTTCTGACTCTTCTCCAATAAAACACAACATGCTATCTACCAAATGAAAAACCAAATCATCCAGTGCGGTTTGGTTTCAATGTGTTCACATGGTCACAACACTTTCTTGCAACCCTACAATAAAACACAGACATGCTAATGAGTGTATGCCTTTTTCCTGCCCCCAATGATATGAAAATAACCCAGTTAACGTATGAAAAAATAAAGACTACCTCTAAGGTAGGTACCTTACTATGAAATAAAAATGCATACTTAAACCTTAAACTAAATGTTTTAAAAAGCCTAGTAGCTCTAATTAAAATACATAAACATAACATATAAAACATATTCAAGCACATTAAACTTTCAATCTCTTTATTTCTTTCCAAATCGTATCACCCTAATTCTACAAGCCGCCTTGTATCAAAACCTTGAGGCATGCCCAAGCATATCCATGCTAGGGTCTTAAATTCTTAATCCATACATAAAAGAATGGTTTTTAATTTTAATTATAGTTCCTTATCATTTTAAAAAAACATCTGGTGAGCCTTGCATGCACTTGGGCTAAGGTGCAAGGTGCACCAGGCATATGACTTTTTAAAGGAGCTGCACCTAGGCCTAGGTGAGACACAAACCTTGAAATGCGCCTAGACACACCTTTTAAATCATTACATCTTCCTTTTTCAAGGTGTTATGATGTTGAAATAATAATTCTTTTTTTCCTTATAAATAAATTATTGAAGATTCCACTCTACAAAAATGGGTTGTTTTAGCTGGGGATGTTCACCCCCCAAAAAAAAAAAAGAACTTGAAAGATGCCATAGAGGAATAGATACAACAGTGCTTCTCACCTGATGTTTGCAATTTTTGCTTGCTTGATAAGTTAGTGATCATCATCATCATCCATGCCTTATCCCAACTACATGGAGTCAGCTTGGCTGATAAGTTAGTGAATCACCCTTTATATTCACTTTAATTATGCATCTCATACCTAGCAATCTATCATTGCCATTTGAGATATCCAGGTCTTAGACTTTATGGATGGCAAGGATCTTGTCAGACTTGATACTAGTTCATGGAGTACTAAGGTTAAGGTCTCCATTAAGTTATATCTTGGTAAATGTTTCCTAAGCAATCCAATATACTGAAAATTAAAAAATTATCCAGCAACAGTAATGGCTTGGTAGTTTTTGCATGCTCAGGACTGGTTGGTTCAGGGAATTAATTCTGCAAGAGCCAAGCATTAATTATTAATTTAGCGAACCCAATTCTCTATGGGTTACATCAACCGATATGTGTAGAAGGTGACTTTTAGCAATGCTGGCCCAGACCCAGTGCCTGAAATATAAGCCCAAGCTTGGGCCACATATATGTAAAAAAATATGTTATACTATATATAATATAAAATATTATATATAATACATATTGTGGCATGATAAATATATATATATATATATATATTGCAGGCTCAATTGGGCTAGAAATGATCATCCCCATGGACTTTCAAATAATGATGATCTGGAAGCATACTATGCCATATAGTGTTGTTGGAATAAAACTTGCCACATGAGATAGTGAAGTGACAACATTATATTATTCATTTTTTTTGTATGTAACTTTATATATATTCTCTAAGTAAAAGAGTTGCAGGTTTTTGTACCGATAACTTTAATTAAGATTACTTTCTTCGGTTCTCCCAGATCTCTATCTCATATACAACACATATAATTCTCATAAAGGAAAATCAGATGAAAGGCAAGTTAAAACATTAGTTAATGCAATACTCACTTTTCTGAATTAAGAATCTCATTTCTCAGATCTTGAGCACGTGATTCTCTTATTGCAACTTTTGTTATGCTTTTTGCAACATCCTGTAAAGTTTACCGCCATTCATTACTGAGTTGTGCTTTCACCAATAACCATTATACTAAATCAAATAAAGAAAAAAAAACTTATGATAGAAATAAAAAAGACTTAATGAATGGTTATTTTACAAACCTACAATTGCATATGTATGATAATCATCATATATCGAGTTTCAAATCTTTCTTATGACCATGAAAAGACTATCAATGCATGATGATTGATTTCAGACCAAGTTGAACATTCAAGGATAAGATTAGTTAGAAGATGACCATGTTGGTACTAAACCAGCAAAAGCATTACCACACATCCTTTGAAGAAGCATTTTCCTTGCCACATAGGCTTGAAGAGTTAAATAAAACCATTTTTGGATGGGAAAAAAATCAAATGTCAACCAAGGACAGATGTTTATCCAAACATATACAATTGTAAAGATCAGACATCAATTCTCTTCTTTTGGGTTTACCTCATAATGGGAGAATCCATTCCACCATGCATCATGACCATAGCAATCAAGATAGTTGAAACATCAAACCAAGTTGAAAGCATGAGGAAAAGGACCGAAGGACTAAGCCCTAGTCAAATACTAAAGGTGGGTCTAGCATAAAATTTAAGGAACAAATAAAGGAAGAAAACAATCACATAGCAGACAGGATCAAATCTTGCTCTGATACCATATCATAATTTATAAATCTAAGAAAAACATAAGGAGAAAAAGGGAGGGTAACAAAGACAATGATAGATAGGGAGAAAAGCAGTGCTGCCAAAGACTATTAGACCCGGTCTTAGTTTGGTGAAGCAACCATTGTACCACTTCAAACAAGAATACAAATCCAGGGAATGCTGCATATAAAAATAAGTTGGGGAAAATACCCTTGTCTGAGCATCCTTAATTGTTACACTTCAGTCTCTCCTCTCTCTTCATCAATTCCACAAATTTCAACCAAGTCCCTTTCTTCATCACCTTCTGAGAAGAGCTTTCAAGTGCTATTAAGCACTTCAAAGTAGAGTGCAAATCAGGTACCCATTTTGAATAATTTACACTGCACCAGGCCGGGGCCCTTTGGGTGAGTCAGGCCCATTCAAATTGTAACAAATGCTCAACCCAAGCCTTCCCAAGTTGCATCCCCACCCTACTTCGAAGTACAGAATCTGAAACGTCCAAATACAAATTTGTTTGCGATGACCCCGAGTGTGCACCAAATTCTATGGCCATTGTTAATTTATTCTCATATAATTCACAAATCAATGGAAGAGTTCGCAAATTTTTGGGAAGACACAGGAGTCACCATAAAATTGGATAGTTAATTAAAATGCATGCATTTTGGATATAAACATATTAATAATGCACAACTTGAAATACAAATACAATAGAAAAAGAAGTACATCTATACAAAGGTTCTGAAGGACCATTTCCACCTAATGAAAGTAATTTAAAGTAACTATATCACACTAACCAACTGATACCGGGTATCCATCCATGTGATACATTAGGACCATATATTTACCTCAGCTCTATATCGTAAAGACTCCACCGCATTTTTAGTAAGTAAAGGAAATGGAGCAATGAAGTTAGTCAAGTCCTGATTCTCATTCCCTTCCAATGTAGATTTGATTTCTTCAAAAACTTTCATCTCATCTGTAGAAACCTGTGAATGGTAGAAGTAAGAAAATAACAGTACTGTAAAAAAAACCATTATTCTGAAGTTCTAATCCTATAATCAACAGAGAATCCTTCTCTTGTACATCTGTAGATAAATAGGGACCAAGCATATACCAAACATTAGCAGCAAAAAGACAAAAATAAACATGCATATGAATTTGTAACATCACAAACCAAGAGTTACAATACATCACAGTATTGGTGCTGGATATGCAAATAAAAAACAATCAGGTAAAAGGCCATACATTATACAAGGTACTTATCAGAAATTAATTGTGCATGAACTTACCAAAGAGACTGAAGCACCAGTATTATATGCCCGCCCAGTGCGGCCAATTCGATGTACATATCCTGCAGCACTTTGAGGCATTTCAAAGTTTATAACCTGTAAAAAACAGACTAAACCCTGTTAACTGAAATGGATGGGGCAAAAACGATTCATCTTTTACTTTGGAAACAATTTCCATCAACACTGGCACACGTCTTTTATACAAATCCAATACTGGACCATAAACTGAAGACAATAGCAAGAACATAATAACTAACAGAAATTTGTAGTAGTACTTATATATCAGAATGCCCAAATGAGGACCGAGGAGCATGTAAGTCCAATAAATTCTTGTGTAATCAGATTCAAATTTTTAAACAATTTTGTAGATGGAATAGCAACTTCTTAGATGTACAATTGCACATAGATTGGTAATTTAACTTTTTTTAATAACTCTGCATTTTTCAAATGCGTTTCCCGTTCTACTTTGGTCAACTGATTACGAAACCCAAGACATCTGGTCCTCTAACCATGTTGAGAAATTTGTCAAACTCATCTTCGAGTCATAGGAGATGATGCTCAGACTCAACTTATGAAGATTGGTATCTTCTCAGCTGAAACTGGTGGTCGCATCTTTCTTCTCGATTAACCATTGTTCTGTTAATGATGAGAAAGTCAGTAGCAATCAGTTCAAAATCCTTCGAGTTCAGTACAAACCCACTTAAACAAGATGATTTTTTTATGCTAACTGAGAGAGGAAGAGGTGCAGGTCGAGAATATCTCTGAAAGCAGAGGAGACGACCTGGACGAGAGATTTCCTCCAAGAGGTGATTTTCTTGCAAACAAGAATAGTCAAAGAGCGTAAACACGTTCACAGAGGGAAGGTGCTTCTAATTCAACAAAGTGGAAACCGTTGGGGAAGATTCATCCGATTAAGCTGTTGGGAACTCACCAAAAAACTAAGGTCAATCTGCATTCCGGAAGAAGAAAAGAAATCAAACTAGAAGACTTTTGTTGAAGTGCTCGACTCCTTCGTTCCTAAGCTTGGACCTTCAGCCTCTGAAACCCCAGTTGCCTCCCCACCTTTAATGAACAAGCACAGCAGAGTTGTGAAGGCTGGAGGTTCAGCCCATATTTCTATCGCCACCCGAGAAAGACCTTTCGGAAAATGGAAGAATGCATTCGTGTGTACCAAACTTGACRAACTGGGTTGGAATGAAATTGAGCTCGGCCTCTCAACAAATCTTCACTCTCCAAACCTCATCCATCTTCACCCCTTCTCCAGCAACAAAGTGGTGGGGTTCGCTCCATCTGAAGACCTAGCCTCTGCTTGGGCTAGATTGGAGAAGTTCTACATTTACAGTAGTTGGGTGAAGAAAAACCATTGGTGGAGAACTGCAAACGTTGTCCCTTCAGATTTATTGTTCAATGGATGGATTACAATCCATGGACTCCCGTTTCATTTGTGGAAGGAGGAAGTTTTTAAGCTATCAGAAGTCTATGTGGTGGATTAGAAGAAATCGATCCCAAAACAAAAAGCCTATCTGAGTTGAGTGAGGCTCGTCTGAAGGTGTAAAATCAAGGAGTGCACTCTACCTCGATCGATACTAGTCCTCGATAGGAACATCTGGTTCTCCACCTCGGTCGTAGTGGAGAAGACAACCGAGTCAAGTATCGAACCTGCTAAGTCATCTTGGAGCAACGATACTCAAACACATGGGCTCTCTAAGCCCCTCGATCAACCAGGAGTTGGGGTAGGTCGGTTTCGTGCAAAGGAAGGAAAATTTATGGTGGGTACGGGAGAGTTGGGCGAAGTCAGGAACATGCAGGATTTTGCTCTACAGGGTAAAAGGAAGAGACAGGAAGAGTACTGTAGAGACTGATCTATGTCTCTTACATCTTTCCTTTTTTGGCCCTTGGGACCACCCTTTTATGTTGTAACTTATGTACACTATCTTTTGTTTTATTATTTCTTGTAAGACAAGGACATAATTGTCCTTTCCATAACATTGTATTATCTCATATATAAGTTAAACTTTTATGGGCGTGATGTTCAAGATAGAACACACCCTTTTCACTCTCAACTCTTTCTCCTCTGTTTTTATTTGAGTTGACAAGTACTTCAAAGAGCCGGAATAGGAAGCCAATTCAAATTTTAAAAGAAGCCTCAGCTCAAAGTGTGAGGTGAAACATCCGGGTTCAGGTGAGAAATGTCAGCACAAAGAGGACTTTGCTCACCTGGCTAAGAATCCTAGCCAGTCCTCGAGCCAAACCCACTATTTCCAAGCTGTTCGCACGCGTCAAGGCCCTCACACGCCTAGCCCTCCTCTGACTCCCACTTACAATGGACGAGACATCCCTGAAACCCCCCCCCCCAAGCTCAAAAACTCACCGAAAAGAAGTCTTCCGTTCACTGATACCCGAGTATCCAACGTCAAGCTCCTCCAAAGAAGTAGAAGAATCAGATTCAGATGAATATTTGAGTTCCTACAGGACAGAAACAGAGGTTGACCCACATGAAGTAGCGTTTTCCAGATCCAAAGTTCTCTTTGACAGAAGAAAGGAGTAGGGGTGCATTGATCTATTGGAAGAAGTTTGTTTAGTTGATCCAAAGTATGGGATTCAGTTGCCTTCTTACAAAAGCCCTGAGGACAGATGAGGAAGAAACTCACCGCACTCCCTGAATGCAAACTCTAGATCTTGCTTTTCTTCAAACCTCGAGTCTCCTTGTCTTTTTAATCATAGTAGCTTTTCTCCTTCTCACTGTAGCCTTGTGTTTCCTTGTGTTCCAGGTTCAGGTGATCGGCAATCCCAACCGTTGGACAATCCCAATATTCACTACCGCAGATCTAGTTCAAAGGAAAATTTGTTTGTCAAGGTAGGGGCCCAAGTTACAACAAGCCAAGAAATCGAAAAGCATAAAGTAATTGAAGTAATAGAAATGGCGGGGAAACTAGGAATTCACTGCCGTGAAACCAATGGGACCTCGGTCTTGGAAAGAAAGAAAATAAAGGAAAAACGTGAGCCTAAGGAAGTAAATGACTCAAAGAAAGGAAAAAGAAAGGGACCCAATAGGGAATCAAAGTGTCTGCAATGGGGTATAATGGATCAAAATGTGGATTGTAAAGGGGAAGAGAGTAGAAGATTAAGTAAGGGAAAGTAAACCAGAGTAAACTAATGAAGATATTAAGCTAGAAAGTCAGGGGGTTGGGGTGGTGATGTCAAGAGAAGCATAGTGAAAGACACTTTGAGAAGAGAAAATCCTGACATAATTCTACTACAGGAAACAAAAAAAAAAAAATTAGTGGTTTTGGGAGTAGAGGTAGACAAAGGCAAATTCACAATTTCAATCCTGTTCACTAACAAGGTAGATGATTTCACCTAGATTCTAACCGCAGTTTGTGGTCCAAATACCTCCTCAAAGAGGAATTAGTTTTGGGAGGAGTTGGGTTCCCTTCATGAACAGGAAGACATCCCCTGGGTTGTGGGTGGAGATTTCAACGCCACTAGATTCAGTCACAAGCACTTAAACGGGAGAAGAGTTAACAAAAGTATGAGGGAGTTTTCCAAGTTCATTTCTAGACATAGGTTGCACGATCTCCCCCTTAGAAATGGTGACTTCACCTAGTCCAACATGTAGGAGAATGCTCTAAGGTGTAGGCTAGACAGATTTCTAATATCACCAGATTGGGAAGATTTCTACCCCTTGACCTATTAGGAGATCTGGTCTCGTTGCATCTCTGATCATTGGCCAATATCTCTCACTACAGATCTGAAGATTCGGGGAAAAACCCCTTTCAGATTGGAAAAATTTTGGACCAAGCATAAAGATTTTTCTAAGAAGGTGGCAACCTGGTGGGAGGAATGCAAAGTGGAAGGCTGGCCAAGTTACAGGTTTCTGGAAAAAACTAAAGTATGTAAAAAGGAATCTAAAAAGATGGGGGAAAGAGGAATTTAAAGCATTCAAGGAAGAAAAATTAACATTGTTATTAGAATTGGATGACCTTGACCAAAAGGAGCAAAGCAGCCAATTAGAGGAGAGTAGAAGAAGAAGGAGAATCAACTTAAGACAAGAATGGGAAAAGGTGGTAAGGTGTGAAGAAGTGTATTGGAGACAAAGATCAAGGATCAGATGGCTGAAAGAGGGAAATAAAAGTTCTAGATTCTTTCATATATATGCTCCTAGGAGAAGGAAAAGGAACCACATCTCAAAAATAAAAATTGAGCAAAGAGAGACGGAGGACCCTAAAGAAATATCTGAAGCCTTTGTAAGCTTTTTCAAAGATCTCTATTCGAAAACTGAAAGTAGAGACACTTATCTAAGCTCTTGGGAAGGCTCAAAGTTTTCAGAGGTGAGTAAAATCTGGTTATAAAGGGAATTCCAAGAACAAGAAGTGATGCAAGCAGTCTTCAATATGGACGGTGATAGGGCACCAAAGCCAAATGGATTTCCACATTTTTTTCTATCAGACTTGTTGGAATACTATCAAACAAAATCTGCTAGAAGTGTTCAAAGACTTTTACCACTCGACCAAAGTAAATAAGGGGAACAATTCTAATTCCATATGCCTAATTCCCAAAAAGATAGGCACTCATGAAGTAAAAGATCTCAGACCTATTAATCTAGTTGGAAGTGTCTACAAAATACGAGCAAAGGTGCTGGCTAGGAGATTGAAGGAAGTTCTATGTGAGATCATTTCGCCTAATCAATTTGCTTTTGTTAAAGGGCGGCAAATTGTTGATAGCATTCTGATAGCAAACGAATGTGCGGAAGAGAGGAAAATGAATGAAAAGGCGGGGTGATTGTGAAGCTGGATTTGGAAAAAGCATACGACAGTGGATTGGGAGTGTTTATTAGAAATCATGAGGCTAATGGGGTTTGGAAGAAGATGGATTCAGTGGGTGGAGGGATGTGTTAAATCCATGTGGTTCTAAGTCCTGATCAATGGGCAACCTAAAGGTTACTTCAAGGCTAGTAGAGGATTAAGACAAGGTTGCCCCCTCTCCCCCTTACTCTTCACTCTCATAATGGAAATTTTCAGTCAACTAGTGAAGAAGGCAAATCTGATAGGGTTGGTGAGGGGTTTCGAAGTTGGCACAGATTCAATTCAGATGACGCACCTTCAATTTGCAGACAACATTATGCTGTTTTTAGAGGCTGAAGAAGACAATGTTGTCAATTTGAAAAAGGTCATAATCTGTTTTGAATGGATTTCGGGGCTTCGTGTTAACTTCTCTAAGAGCAGTATTGCAGGGCTAAACATAGTAAATGTTCAGCCCCTAAAAACGTTTAAGGAAATTTTGGGCTATAAAGTTGAAAGCCTTCCTTTTTCCTATCTTGGAATGCCTCTTGGAGGGAACCCGAAGATTCAAAGTTTCTAGGACCCAGTAATAGAAAAATGCAAAAAAATAAATTGGCCACGTGGAAAAGTGACTACTTGTCCAAAGGCGGGAGACTCACCCTCATTAAAGCTTCTTTGGCAAACTTGCCCACATACTATCTCTCAACCTTTCGAATGCCAACCAAAATTGCCAATCAACTTGAAAGGCTTCAAAGAAATTTTCTATGGGAAGGAAGTGGGGAAAAGGGATCTCATTTGAGAGAAAAAAAAAATACAGCTCTTCTAAGTAAATAGTTGTGGAGGTTTCCTCAGGAACCGAATGCCCTATGGACTGAGACCATCAGCAGCAAGTATAGGAAGCACGCCAACGGTTGAGACTGCAGTTTGCACTTGAACCAGATCAAGGACATAAACCCTTGGAAAGGTATACTCTCAACCTACCAAACTTTCATTTCCTTTATCAGGTACAAAGTGAAAATGGGGATAAAATAAAATTTTGGACGGATGTTTGGTGGGGTGACACTACCTTGGTTGCATCCTTTCCTCGCCTCTACAGCCTTACTCGAAACAAAGAAGCTCCCATCTCCCTTGTCTTATCCATACATCACTCTTAGTTCAACTAGAACCTAGACTTTAGAAGACCTTTGAGAGAAAATGAACTTGAGGAAATATCTAGATTCCTACACTCTCAGAGAAGTGTACCTCTCCCCAAATACCCCTGACACTCGAGTCTGGACCCTACACCCAGCAGGTAAGCTTTCAACTAAGTCCTGCTTCAGGGCTCTAATCAAGGAAGAACAGACAACTGAACATTTCCCTTTCAAGACAGTTTGGTGTACACACATTCCCTCCAGAGTTTTTTTTTTTTTTTTTGTGTGTGTGTGGGAAGCTAGTCTGAAGAAGATCAACACTTTGGATCTCCTCCAGAAAAAGAACCAAGGAAGGTCCTATATATCCCCACATGTATGCT